AGCAGGAGAGAGTGGAAGAACAGCTTTCAGTTCCATAATCACCATGAGGTGTGTCTTTTGGCAAAACAAAAGCCCATAGTTCAGAATTATTTCATATAAATAATCACTTTTCTAGAAGTATGCCATTCCAGAGAGCTTAGTGACTCAGGTCCAAAGCCATGCAAATGAAGTCAATAATTATGAGTTATTACATTTGTAGGAAGTTAAAAGTCTTTCCCATCTTGTAGGAATTGTGTAGACTAGATGCAATGCAGAAAATAAGGGATCTTTTAATAGACACCAACAGTACAATGAGTACCGACTTCGTGCCCAGGCAAAAAGATCATCAGGCCCCAATAAGTCAGTGGGAGAAGGTTTGCATTGCTTTGCTGATAGAGGACTTTATTGCCCAGTGCTTTGTCTCAAATTACCTTTCACTGACTCTGGAGACATGGAAAGTATTGAAATTACCTTCCCCGTTACAAGTTTTCCTGAGAAAAAGGATCTCTGTCTTGTTTGTAATAAAAGGGAACGTAATATTTTCTTGCAAAAGGAAGGGAATCAGTTTTTCCTCTTGTTTTAAAAGCATTCACAGATTTATAGCGGAAATGTCAGGAACAGGATGTATTAACCGTATGACCCCAGCAGAATGAGTCTACACCCTTGAATGATTTAAAAGTTTATCTGTGTCCTCTGAATAGCCACAAAGGGTCAAGTCTTGGTCCTGCTCAAATCAATGAGAGCTTGACTAATGACTTTAATGGCTTCAGGAACAGGACCAAAGTTTTTATCCAATACTCATAAGCAAATAACAAAGCAGAGCCTATAGCACGAACCACAGACAAATGAGTCTGGCTAATTGGTACAGTGCATCAAGTTTCCTTTCTAACCCTGTACCACACCACTCACACGCTAAGAGAGTAGCTCTTTTTTGTATAATTAAAAAGTCTTTCCCAGTCTTCCTGAACTGCATGGTCTGATTCTTGAAGATATTCCTGCCTTTAAAATGGGGGGAGGGAATGAGGCAGAGGCACAGGTAGGACTGGGAAGACTCTGCTTTCTTGCTCACTCTCTGTGGGAGCGGGCTTGGCTGCCTGGGTCTTTAATAAGAAACCAAAGGTGGAAACTCTGCTGGACATTGACGTTTGTATTTTCTTGAACTACCAGCAGTGCAAACCCTGACGGCAGCACCAGCGTCACCAGTACAGCCTTCCCAGCCCCATTTTGAGTATCATCCAAGATATGGGGAAGTTCAGCACATTGTAAAGAGGTTAGTATTCACTGAAACCAGTTTCCAGCTTCTGTTCAGTACTGTGAATCTCTGAGGCCTCTTAGCATCCTTTGCAGTCTCTCCTGTACCTCAGTTAAAATTTCTTTCTTCTAGCCAGTTCTCTGCTTTATTACAGCATGTAAGATAGTGTCTTGCACAGTAGTGACAAAAGCTGATTTCAGCTCAGGAAGTCCAGTCTCCTTAGTTTATAGCAAATTGAAAGAACTAGGATTCTCCAAAGATTTACTTTGGGCTGAAAACATACCCTAAATGCTGTGGTTCATACCCATAACAAGGACGCAGGGATCTTAAACTTTGCAGGGTAAGATCAGTTTCTGAGAACATGCCTCTCACTTATTGCTCATTGGCACTTTGGAGAAGCTCTGATTTTTGCCTTCTTTCCCACTTAAAAGGAAAGGTCCTTGCTGCTCTGTATACTTTCACCTCTGCCGGAAGACCTGCAGCTGAGGGGCCTGGCTTGGCCCCCTTCAGTTCCTAGATAATTTTCTTCACTGAGCGTTACCGGAAATTTCCAATTGCACGTTGATGCGATCATTCACTTCCCATGAGGCTGCAGCCTTCGTGTTTTCTGTATGGCATCATTTCTCCTCTTTTTCCCACCACCTTTGTTTTTTGCTTTGCCCATGCTTTTTAGCTTCACAATGTTTTCGAACACACACCTCTGGTGCATAGCGCTTCCCCAGCATGATCTATAACCATTACTGCCACTCCCTGGC